GTATTCTGGGACATACTTGTAGTTACACAGGGCAGGGAATCCATGGCGACATATTGCTGTGAACACAACTGGAGTGGCCTGTGTTTGGAGAATGAATTAGACTACTGGGTTCCTTCCTCCCCATTTTCTACAGCATTTTGCAGTGGTGCAGAATGCTTTGCAGTCGTCCCCTCCCCCATCCCCACCCCCGGAGTTTCAATGTTTCCGTTGTGGCAGGGCCAGAGGAAGAAGCATCTTGTAGCTTTGGTTTCTATTTATTTATTAAAACTTTTGTACCTCACTTTTCTTCAAGGTGACTCACAAGAAACTATTAAAACATTACAGGCTAAAACCAAATACCCCTCCCCAATGCCCCCTTCTCCTTTTTGAAAGATGCCTGCTGTTTGTGGAGACCATTTGGGACAAAGTAGTCCTGATGCTGAATACGCATCAAGTGAGAGCCTGCAAAAACTGTGTAAAACCATTTTAGTTAACAAGCCTCCTGCTGATGTCCACGAGAATAGCTTGTGTTGTGTCTATTGAAAGTTTAGACAACTAATAAGAGCAATTTATTTCTAGGTGTTCAAAACATACCATGCTGGGACATTTATTTTCTTTCGGATACTTATCCCTTTTTGGCTTAGCCAGTACTATGTCAAATATCACCTGTTGGTAAGTACATTAAGGCACCATTTCTGACAGACAGGTCTGTGGAGCCTAGCCATACCACTCCCATCTTCTGTGGTAGCTCTCTTCCCACCCTTCACTTGCGTTTCCATGAACACTTCAAGGTGTCCTGTAGAATGAGTACGGCTACCTTCTTGAGCCTGGGAGGCTGGACTGTCCCTGGCCAATCTGCGTATTCCCATGGTGGTATTGCTGCTTTCTACCGGTCTCCTGGGCAAAGAAGAAAGCCTTAACTCTCCAGATTCCAAAAGCCAAAAGACGTCTTTTTCTTTTGGGGAATGAGAGGTGATACCCAGACTATTGTGATGGCCCCTGGGGATCATCACAGGGCAAGGGGTGCTATGGTTAATCATGCTTACTCTGTGGGGCAGCATTGGAAGAGGGTGTGTGTTCTCTTTTGACCCAGAAGGAGCTCCTCTTTTCTGGAAGTGAGTCCTTTGGGTTGCCATTGAGAGAGGGGTACCTTCGCTTTCCTGGTGGGTGGGGTGCTTGCAAGGAAGCAGCAGCGTTTGATTCTGTCCAGCTTTCACTGCCCTGCATTATTATGGCAAATTGTTTCTTACCTTATGGGCATCTTGCTGAGATACAGAAGAGTATACCTGCAAGGTCCGCGTTGAATGTGCATCTCACGCTCCAAATCTGCCTAGTAGATTGGTTGGGAAAAGCAGGGTTTGGGGTGTGTGTGTTCAGATGCAGGGTTGCTCTTTCTTGTTGCTCTTTCCATTATTCCCTATGGGCAAGCGTGCTTTCCATTATTCCCCACGTCCACATGTGGTCTCATTCATTGTGGGAAGCGTGGACTCCATTATACCCTATGGTCAGGTGTGCTCTGCTCTCCATTATTCCCTATGGTCAGTCATGGATTCTCTATTGGCAATCATGGATTCTCTGTTCGCAATTATGTACGAACTGTCGCCTTGGGCAAGCCTACTCTCCATTATTCCCTATGGGCAATCATGGATTCTTTATTGGCAATTATATACTCCATTATCCCCTATTGGCAAGCATCCTTTCCATTATTCCCTATGGGTAGTCATGGATTCTCTATTGGCAATTATGTACTGCACTATCCCCTCTGGGCAAGCCTACTCTCCATTATTCTCTATGGGCACTCATGTATTCCCTATGGGCAATCGCTGTCCTTAGTTTTAGTACGTCCCATGATTCACTATAGCATATGGTCACTTTGTGTATTCTAAGCCTTACCTCAGTCAGAATGAACAGAGAAAAAGTGGCTTATTAAGCATACTGCAGTTCTTGCCACTAGACTAAACTCTGTACAGGAGCAATTTCAAACATTTGCAGTGCATTGAAGATCAAAGAAACAATTCTTCCAAGTAAACTTAGGACTGGGCTGCTTGTCTTTATGCATGCCTGTTAATTTCAAGGTGGTTCCGTGGTGAACCTTGGGTAATGTGCTAGTTTTCAACATCTTTGTAAAACTGCATTTCCATGACTGCTTAGAAGCCACATCGTAAATTAAGTGAATGTAAACTGATTGTTAATACTATCTTCTTGTAACAGATTCTTCTCACTACTGTACTGCTCTCATGGGGATACGTCATTTATGCAACACGACTGGCAGCCCAGTGGCAGCTGAAAGACGACTACCCCACACAAACCCACAATTTTTGTGAGACACTAAAGCAAGGAGACCTCTAAAAACTATGCAGAAGTTCAGACACTTTAAAAGTACTCCTACCCTCATGGATACTAATACACTGAAACAGAATCAGAGTCCAGAGATTTAAGAAAACATGCCAAGACTTTGCAAGCAGAATAGAAGACCTTATACAAATGTGTGATTTACTCACTCTGGTCAAGAGAAATACTTCAAATTTTATACCAGCAAAGGACTATGTATATAAAGATTTCCAGTCGCATATGCTTCACTGAGGATTATGCTGGCACAGTTCGGAAGGATCAGACACCATCCATCCTGAAAAAACCCACTATGAACAACCTTCACCAATTTTGTGCGTCTGTTTTGGTTGTTTAAGTGGCAACATTGAATGCTGTTGACTTGAACAGGTCACCCACTCATTTCATGTTTTAAAATGACATACTCTTTTGTAATTTTATTATAAAAATCACTATTTGTAAACTGCCTTGAGTATTTTTCTGAAAAGCAGGATCAGTGTGTTTTAAATATTAAAACAATGTTTATAGAAGATTAGCTGGAAATTATGGTCATATAACATTTGGTGGTGGTGGAAGTGTGTCAAGTTGTAACCCATTTATGGCAACTCCCATGGGGTTTTCAAGGCAAGAGACAGACAGATGGTTTGCCATCAGCGGCCTCTGCACAGCGACCCTGGATTTTCTTCTCTCATCCAGTACTATCCAGGGGCCAACCCTGCACAACTTCTGAGATCAAGCTAGCCGGCATATAACATTTACTGGCACAAACACAGGAGTCATTCAATTTCTAGCAATAACGTAGGATTTGGGATTGCATATTAATAACTAGATTAAAAACTGGTCAATGTTGAAATGAGCAACTACGATATAACTACTTCTGGGATTTATACTGTGATCTACAGCCAAAGTTTCATATCTAAACCCCCCCAACCCTCAAGTCAAGCGACCTAATGGGATTTTGAAGTATTTTCCCTCCTTACTGAGTATCTTGTTTTACCTGCTGCAGTAAAGGTATATGCTTATCAAAATTTCCTAAATAAATGTGTGACTAAGTTTGATTACAGTTACCATTAAACTCATTTTAAGGGATTAAACGTGTCATAACATAGTATGTAAACTGAAGTGTACTGCTTTCATCTCTTCCGTTTTGGCTCTATTCACTTGCTTATGGCATATTTCACATGCAGGGTTGCCACTTTCTGGAAAGTCAGGGAAATGAAAATTGGTCAGGGACACTGCTCTTAAGGTCCTCTTCACTTTCTGCCATTAGAGTGGTATCGTCTGCATATCTGAGGTTGTTGATGTTTTCCCCAGCAATCTTCACACAACCCACACGTATTACTATAGGCACATTTCCTCCAAAATCCAGCCCCTGGCAGTGACGTCAATCTCGCCGCCGCCATTAACGTCCTCAAATAAAGAGCCATCCCCCCCCTCCGACTCAGTTTATAAAATGTCAGAGACTCAAGGAGTTTTGTCGCACTGTAAAAGCGGAAACAATTTTATCCCAGTCGAAGCTTTCAGGGGCTACAACCCACTTGTGGCTCTGCACGAGGCAGATGTGCATTGAACCTCAGATATAAAAGCCGCATGTAGATGCTGCCCCCGAAAAAAGCTCCAGGAGTCTAGTGGTGCTTTAAAGACCGAAAGAACTTTATGCGTGAACACCCTTCTCTTTCCTTGGACATCACACGCGAGAGGTGGAATTTGCCACTAGTAGTCCAAGGCCACCACCCCGAAGCTCAGAGAGGTGGGGGAACGTTTTGCGCCCCCTCTCCGCGGCCGTTGCAGCTGCACCGGAGAGCGGCGGTGGCTATATCTTTTTAAAGAGCCCCCAGGGAGAGTTGCTGGAGCCGGAATGACCTCTCGCGTGTGATGTCCGAGCGTTGCCACTCGGACACCACACAAGAGGTGGAATTTTCTACTAGGAGTCCAAGGCCACCACCCTAGGGAACATTTTGCGCCCCCCCCCCCGCCGTGGCCGTTGCAGGTGCCCCGGAGAGCAGCGGTGGCCATATCTTTTTTAAAGAGCCCCCAAGGAGAGCTGCTGGAGCCGGAATGACCTCTCGCGTGTGTTGTTGCTCGGACATCACATGCGAGAGGTGGAATTTGGTACTAGCAGTCCAAGGCTACCACCCTGAAGCTCAGAGAAGCGGGGGAACCTTTTGTGCCCCCTCCCCCCCGCCGCGACTGTTGCAGCTGCACCGGAGAGCGGCAGCGGCCATATCTTTTTAAAGAGCCCCCAAGGAGAGCTGCTCGAGCTGTAATGACCTCTCGTGTGTGATGTCTTGTGAGTGGTGGAATTTTGCATGCGCCCCCTCCCGTGGCTGCTGCCAACTGCGGCGGCGGCCATAACTTTTTAAAGAGCCCCTAAAGAGAGCTGCTAGAGCCAGAATGACCTCTGTCGTGTGTTGCCGCTCAGACATCATACGTGAGAGGTGGAATTTGCCCCTAGGAGTGCACGACAGCGGCGGCAGCCATAACTTTTTAAAGAGCCCCTAACGAAAGCTGGGGGAGGCGGAATGACCTTTGGGCAATATTATTTATGGGCAATCATGGATTCTCTGTTGGCAATTATGTCCCTATGAGCAATCATGGATTCTCTATTGGCAATTATGTACTCCATTATCCCCTATGGGCAAGTGTCCTCTCCATTATTCCTTACGGGCAGTCATGGATTCCCTATTGGCATTATGGATTCTCTATTGGCAATGATGTACTCCATTATCCCCTATGGGCAAGCAACCTCTCCATTATTCCCTATGGGCCATCATGGATTCTCCATTGGCAATGATGTACTGCACTATCCCCTTTGAGCAAGCCTCCTCTCCATTATTCTCTATGGGCACTCGTATTCCCTATGGGCAATCGGTGATGCTAGATCACATTAAGGTGCCTTATACTGAGACACACCATCAGTCTATCAAGGTTGGCATTGTCTCCTCTGACTGACTGGTTTGCCAGAAGCTCTGGTCCAATGCTCCCTCTAAGCTGTGGAGTCTTGTGAGTAAAAATTCTACTTTGTGAGCTACTGGCATTAAAGTTGTGAGCCAGGGATTTGGCGGCTGCATAAATTAGTTTGCTTTGGAGCCACCCTTCCCGAGCTAAGACAAAAACATGTGAGCTGGAGGCTAAAAAACTGAGCTAGCTCACACTAACTCAGTTTAGAGGGAACACTGCTCAGGTCCCTTTCTCACATCGCCTGATCCTTGTCACTGGAGATACCAAGTACTGAACCTGGGAGCTTTTGCATGCAAAGCAGATGTCGTACTCAGGACATACGGCCCAATCGTGGGTGTCACCACTCTCTCCTTTCATTATCTCACTTTCCCGCTTGTCTATCCCAACCAAAACAAGACCCTTCCTCGCTTCCTTAGCCTTTCAAATTCTCTCTCTGGTGCCGCCGCTGTCTCCGCTTCTAAGCTCCAACCGCGTGCTCATTGGATGCAGCGAGGAACCTGGGCGGAGTTTCTACTTTAAACCTCGCCCATGGGCACCGGCTTGTCTTTCTTGAGTGGAGCCTCAAATGAGCGGGGCGGGGCCTTTTTGCTTTTGCTAGCAAGTTGTAGCGGGGACAAGTTTTGGTGGGGCACCAACATGGCGTCTTCTTTTCTCTTTGGCTGTGGCCGTGATGCGGCGTTCAAGGTAACTGACGGGGCGGGCTGTGTTACTGTGTCTCTGGACTACTCGCGTTTCCAGTGGTTTATGTAAGTGCCAGTGATTTAGACTTGTCAAATTCAGAGGCTGACCCAAAGCTTTAGTTTCTTTCTCCAGGCCTGAAGGAAAGAAGTAACTTTTCCGGGTGAGAGTTTTCCCTACTCTCTTGGGTCTGGCGCATTTTGTGTTTGTGCAGCCAGGCTCTTCCCCTGTCTTGACTAGTCCTCTGTCCTCATCAGGTACCGTCAGGGTCTCGCCAGGCTGCACACGCTTATCTGCTCGGCATTGCCCCTTGGCGCTACATTTCAGGGTAGGAACTTCAGATGACCGGCAATCGTATGGAGGAAATACGGTTATAGATTAGTATCTGTGAAATTTTAGGTAGGTTTCATTGCTTTGGTCGTTGTATAATGCTGTTTTAAGTACATCATTCTCTCATTTTTGTATTGCAGTTTGATTGTATTGTTGGCTGGCTGTATTACACTGCTGCTACTGCATTATTTTAAATTGCATAATCTGCTTAGAGTTTTAGCAAGAAAGTAAATAAAGGTTTGGAATGTGCCCTTAGGCTGTGGGATTTATGATGCAAAAGTTTAATAGGTTCTGTGAATTCTCAGCTTTTTAAAAGTCTCCAAGCCCTTTCATTGTGAAGATGTAATGGGAAAGGCATATCTCTGAAATGGAAGAGACTGGAGATTTGCATTTTTAAAAATGAAATTCAGAGAGAATGTTACTTGTTATAATGTTATGTCATTACAATTGTACTCAATTGCTGATATATAAAAAAGTGAAAAAAACTAATGGCCCAGGGAGGGTGTGGTGGCCATGGCTGAGGGGCAGGGAGCCGCAGGGAAATCTACCATATGGAAGCCCTGTTGTCAGTGTGGTGTATCAGTAGCTGAACCTGCAAGAGAGAAACGACAAAAACCTGTCCCTGTATGGAAGCCAATTAGAGTGGACATTAGGCAGTTAGGAGTCTATGCCCAGTGTTGTGTTAATTGCCTAATTCCAGATTCTCCAACATGGTACACAAAGATATCATGGTTGCCTGCCAAGCTTTTCAAAATGTGGATGGTGTCATTATAAGTCAGGGCTTGTTACTGGCTGCCCTCATTCAGATGAAAGTGTTCTCCACTGGAGGATCAGGATGACTGGTAAATTCCATTTCCCCCTTAGGCCTTCCTCCTTCCCAGGAGGTGTTAGGAGGGAGGTATTCTCTTTGGCTCTGCCTTAAAATGCAGCTGTTTTGGAATGGCAATCACCATCTGTCTCAAATTCCAGAGTTGCCTGTAGGCTCAAAAAAGAAGGGGATGTCTAACAGTTGTGTGGATTTTTGCAAAATAAACCCATACAAGCAAAAAAATAATAACAATGTTGAATTACATAAAGGGCAATGTAATCCATTTTTATATTCTTAAGTATGTATACTCTGGGTAATCTAATGTGGATTATTTTATTTATGTATTCATTTCAAAAATTTATTAGCCACCCTTCTACTTTACAGGAACTTAAAGCAGCTTGCAGTGCCAATGGCAACAAAATGCTATAAAATACATTTAAAACACCAGTTTGAAATCAACAATTTAAAACTGCTAGTAGGCAGAAGAACGGAAAAGAATTAAATGCTGTTATGTGTAAAAGCTATCTTCAGCTGCCTCCTAAAGGGAGGGAGTCAGCCCACCTCCTTGGGGAGGTTGTTCCATAATCCTTAATAAAGTTGTTAGCAGATCATCAGTATTCACCCTTATAAAGCACTTTGGTTGACTATGGGAATTGTAGGTGGGGTTTTTTAATTCAAGACTGAAAGTAGCTTGCTTTTGTTCTAAAACTATGAAATTTACCTTGAACAAGAGAAAAATTGTCTTGATTCAAAATTAGCCCGATTTCCCACAGGATGCAGCCTTGATACCGGCATTGATTTTCAGGATGATATGGGGTATGTGAAGTAATAAAAGAATTCTGAGCATGTGTAGAGGCTTCTTCGCCTTCAAACATGTGATCTTTTTTTCATGTTGGAACTTTCATAGTTTTAGAAACACACACATAACCAACCATTAAGTTATAATCTTATGAAATCTGGTGCTCTGGAAAAAGGACATAAACAGTGTTGCAGATATTATAAAGCAGGGGTGGCCGAACTTGCTTAACATAAGAGCCACATAGAAGAAACATCAGATGGCTGAGAGCTGCAAGATATGAACACATATTACACTTCTTCACCCAAAGAGTGATTAACACTTGGAATTCACTGCCACAGGAAGTGGTGGCGGCTGCAAGCATTGGACAGCTTCAAAAGGGAATTAGATAAGCATATGGAGCAGAGGTCCATCAGTGGCTATTAGCCACAAGGGACTCTGGGGCAAGTGATGCTCTGTCATCTTGGTGCTTGGGGGGGTCAACAGTGGGAGGGCTTCTAATGTCCTGGCCCCACTGGTGGACCTCCTGATGGCACCTGGTATTTCTGACCACTGTGTGATACAGAGTGTTGGACTGGATGGGCCTTTGGCCTGATCCAACATTGGCGTCTCTTATGTTCTTACACACATGTCTTTATTTATTTGTTTGTTTAATTTATATCCTGCCCTCCCTGCCAAGGCAGGCTCAGATCGGCTAACATAGAGATGTAAAACAATTAAAACAAGAGTTGAATAAAATCAGGACGATACAGTATGAGTATAATTATAGAATATACAAATATAAAGTGCTAGTTTGTATCAGATTTTTGATTGGAATATATGCAAATTTGCTTTATATTAACGTGAACATTAAGACTGCCAGAAATAAAAACAAAAGGGGTAAAAACAGATATTGATAATGATATTTAAAGAGACAAATGCTTTCTCCAAGCCGGCTGGGGGGGGGGCTTTGAGAACGCATTTAAAGTTAAAATTGCTTTCTTTCTCTGCTCCCCCCCTCAAGCCTACCCAGGGAGGAGAACACTGGCTAGGGAAGGGAAGACTGGTGGTGGTGGTGGGGAATGCCTCCCCTTCACTTCCCCAGCTGCCCTGCTGGGAGCCACACAATATGCGTGGAAGAGCCGCATGTGGCTCCCGAGCCGCAGTTTGGTCACCCATGTTATAAAGCATTCTACTTTTCTCTACATTTGTCTCTAAAGTTACATGGTCACTGAGACACACATTTTTTAAAAAAAATTATTTCAAGTGGCCTTTAGGTTACACATTAGTCACAAATAGTGTATAGTTGACTATATAGAACAAGTAAAGGATCTGATGACTATCCTGGATGTCCTGCTTCATGCATCAGAGCTGCTATTAGGTGAGAAGAAGGATGTGTTTTCTCAACTGTGGTCACCTCATACATTATTCTTTCATTACCATTAGCATATCCCTTTGCTTTTGATTACCAGCTAGTTCTGTGTAGTGGGTGGGTGGGAACTTAGTTGCTGGCATCACATTTTAGCATCACTTTGGTTATAAGCATTGAACAATGAAGCTATAAGTGTGGAACCCACAAGGAGCTATGTGGGGACATTTAATTTTCCCATCTCCTTCCCTGCACTATGTCCTTCTTTTCTTCTCCTGACAGCCCCATATCTGTTTCCCCTATTTCCTGCTCTCCTTCCCACTCACCAACCAATTGTTCTTTTATCTGTTCCCTCAGTCTTCAAGTTCATTATTTATTTGCTTCATTTATACCCTATCTTTCATCTTAGTGGGACCCAGAGCAGCTTATATCACTGTCCTCCATTTTAACCTCAACCCTGTGAGGAAGATTAGACTGAGAGAGGGTGGCTGCCCCAAGATCATACAGCAAGCTTCTGCGGCAGAATAGGGATTTGAGCCTTGGTTTCCCAGATCCTAATCTGTCATTCTAACCACTGGCTCTCAGCTTTCCATCCTTCCCTCCTCCTAGCAGCCTCTCCCTTGGAAAAGTCTGGCCAAGTTACAAAGGTAATGCAGTACGAAGTCATTCAGGTTATTTATATGATAGTTGTTTTCAGACTTGGCCAAATCTTGCAAATTGTGTAGAGGCTGCTGCTGGGTGCAGGTGAGTTGTATGGCTTAAAGTCACCTGATAGCTGCCACTGCACCTGGTGGTTGATGGTGGTTGATGTTGGCCTTGGCCCTGATGAGTGCTCCCTCTAGGGCAAGAGGAAAGGGAGCATGGGTGGACTAGGAGGCTGAAATAGCCCTGAATGTGCTCCCCCCCCCCTTTACTATCAGGAACTAAAGTTTGAAGACTGGCAATATTGTTGTGGTTGCCTAGCAATCACCCATCATGGACACTGAGAGGGCATTCCTCTCAAATTTACAGACTTCTATTATTTGGAGTTATTCTTTTAGATGTCAGATTTTTCTGCTAGCCTATGACTTTTAGTAGGACAGTAGAAAGTTTTGGCCATGGATCACTGCCTTGTCGTGGCGAGGGGGCTTGCGCAGTTCAATGAAGCTGTGGGCTATGCCGTGAAGAGCCACCCAAGACGGACAGGCCACAGCAGAGAACTCAGACCAAGCGTGATCCACCTGGAGAAGGAAATGGCAACCCACTCCAGTATTTTTGCCAAGAAAACCCCATGGACAGTATCAAAAGGCTAAAAGATATGACGCCGGAAGATGAGCCCCTCAGGTCGGAAGGTGTCCAATATGCTACTGAGGAAGAGCAGAGGGCAAGTACAAGTAACCCCAGTAAGAGTGAAACGGCTGGGCCAAAGCCGAAAGGACGCTCAGTTGTGGATGTGTCTGATGGTGAAAGGAAAGTCCGATGCTGCAAAGGACAATACTACATAGGAACCTGGAATGTAAGATCTATGAATCAAGGTAAGCTTGACGTGGTCAAAAATGAGATGGCAAGACTGAACATCGATATCCTAGGAATCAGTGAACTAAAGTGGACAGGAATGGGCAAATTTAACTCAGAAGACCATTATATCTACTACTGTGGCCAGGAATCTCGTAGAAAAAATGGTGTGGCCTTTATAGTCAACAAGAGAGTGCAAAAGGCAGTACTGGGATACAATCTCAAAAATGACAGAATGATTTCTGTCCGATTCCAAGGCAAACCATTCAACATCACAGTAATCCAAGTCTATGCCCCAACCACTGATGCAGAAGAGGCTGAAGTGGACCGGTTCTATGAAGACCTACAACACCTCCTAGAACTAACACCAAAAAATGATGTCCTCATCATCATAGGGGACTGGAATGCTAAAGTAGGAAGTGAAAAGGTAACTGGAATAACAGACAAGTTTGGCCTTGGAAAGCAAAATGAAGCAGGGCAAAGGTTAACAGAGTTTTGTCAAGAGAACACACTGGTCATAGCGAACACCCTTTTCCAACAACCTAAGAGGCGACTCTACACATGGACATCACCAGATGGGCAACACCGAAATCAGATTGACTATATAATTTGCAGTCAAAGATGGAGAAGCTCTATCCAGTCAGTAAAAACAAGACCTGGAGCTGACTGTGGTTCAGATCATGAGCTACTCATTGCAAAATTCAGACTTAAACTGAAGAAAATCGGGAAAACCATGAGGCCATTCAGGTTTGACCTAGATCACATCCCTGATGAATATACAGTAGAGGTGAAGAATAGATTCAAGGGTCTGGATTTGATAGATAGAGTGCCTGAAGAACTATGGACAGAGGTTCGTGACATCGTACAGGAGGCAGCAATCACCACCATACCAAAGAAAAAGAAATGCAAGAAAGCAAAATGGCTTTCTGATGAGGCTTTACAAATAGCAGAGGAAAGAAGGAAAGCGAAAGGCAAAGGCGAAAAGGAAAGATTTACCCAACTGAACGCAGATTTCCAGAGAACAGCAAGGAGAGATAAGGAGGCCTTCCTGAATGAACAGTGCAAAGTAATAGAAGAAAACAATAGAATGGGAAGGACTAGAGATCTCTTCAAGAAAATTGGAGAAATCAAGGGAGCGTTCCATGCAAAGCTGGCCATGATAAAGGACAAAAACGGTAGGGACCTAACAGAAGCAGAAGAGATTAGGAAAAGATGGCAAGAATACACAGAAGAACTATACAAGAAAGACCTCAATGTCCTTGACAAACACGACGGTATAATCACTGACCTTGAGCCAGACATCCTGGAATGTGAAGTTAAATGGGCCTTAGAAAGCATTACTAACAACAAAGCTAGTGGAGGTGATGGTATTCCAGCTGAGCTATTCAAAGTCTTAGAAGATGATGCTGTTAAAGTTCTGCACTCCATTTGCCAGCAAATTTGGAAAACGCAACAGTGGCCACAGGATTGGAAAAGATCAGTATACATTCCAATCCCAAAGAAGGGCAATGCCAAGGAATGTTCAAACTATCGCACAATTGCACTCATATCACACGCTAGCAAGGTCATGCTCAAGATCCTACAAGCTAGGCTTCAACAGTACGTGGATAGAGAACTACCAGAAGTACAAGCTGGGTTTCGAAGAGGTAGAGGAACGAGAGATCATATTGCCAACATTCGCTGGATTATGGAGAAAGCAAGAGAGTACCAGAAAAATATCTACTTCTGCTTCATTGACTATGCTAAAGCCTTTGACTGTGTGGATCACAACAAACTATGGCAGGTCCTTAAAGAGATGGGAGTACCAGACCACCTCACATGTCTCTTGAGAAACCTGTATAAGGGCCAAGAAGCGACAGTTAGAACCGGATACGGAACAACTGATTGGTTCAGCATAGGAAAAGGAGTACGACAAGGATGTATACTGTCACCTTGCTTATTTAATATATATGCAGAGTACATCATGCGAAATGCTGGCCTGGATGAATCACAAGCGGGAATTAAGATTGCTGGGGAAAAGATCAACAACCTCAGATATGCAGATGATACCACTCTAATGGCTGAAAGTGAAAAGGATCTAAAGAGCCTCTTGCTCAGAGTAAAAGAGGAGAGCGCAAAAGTGGGCTTGAAGCTCAACATCAAAAAAACTAAGATCATGGCATCCGGCCCCATCACTCCTTGGCAAATAGAAGGGGAAGTCGTGGAAGTAGTGACAGACTTCACGTTCCTGGGATCCCAGATCACCGCAGACTGTGACTGCAGCCATGAAATTAAAAGACGCCTGCTCCTTGGGAGGAAAGCGATGGCGAACCTAAACAGCATGATAAAAAGTAGAGACATCACCCTGCCAACAAAAGTCCGCATGGTCAAAGCAATGGTATTCCCAGTAGTCATGTATGGCTGCGAGAGCTGGACTATAAGGAAGGCCGAGCGCCGAAGAATAGATTCTTTTGAACTATGGTGCTGGAGAAGACTCTTGAGAGTCCCTTGGACTGCAAGAAGAACAAATCAGTCAATCCTAAAAGAAATCAACCCTGACTGTTCCCTGGAAGGCCAGATAATGAAACTGAAGCTCAAATACTTTGGCCACCAAATGAGAAGGGAGCACTCACTGGAAAAGACCCTGATGCTGGGAAAGATTGAAGGTCAAAGAAGTCGGGGACGGCAAAGGATGAGATGGTTAGACAGTGTCATCGATGCAACGAACATGAAGTTGAGCCAACTTCAGAGGACGGCGGAAGACCGGAAGGCCTGGCGAGAGTTCGTCCATGGGGTCGCGAAGAGTCGGACTCGACTGTGCGACTGAACAACAACAAAAGAAAGTTTTGTAGAAAGATCTGTCTTCTCTGTTCATGGCTCTAGTTTCCAGTTTTAAGAACTCACAGATAGGACCATGTTGAGAATTAGATATTTCAAATTCTTTTGTTCAGTTTACTGTGAAAGGAACTTCTGAATGGTATGTTTTTTAACCTTTGATGCTTGTTCCTCTGATTTTTAATTATCATAGTATACACTGTGCTTTTTATGAAGTACAAGTGGGGCCCCACGAAACTCACGGGGGAATCTCATCTGCCCCCCCCCACAAGTCCAGCCCAACCACTTGCCTAAAATGCGAGTAGAAAGTTTTGTAGAAAGATCTGTCTTCTCTGTTCATGGCTCTAGTTTCCAGTTTTAAGAACTCACAGATAGAACCATGTTGAGAATTAGATATTTCAAATTCTTTTGTTCAGATTACTGTGAAAGGAACTTCTAAATGGTATGTTTTTGTAACCTTTACTGCTCCTTCCTCTGATTTTTAACTATCATAGTCTACACTGTGCTTTTTATGAAGTACAAGTGGGGCCCCACGAAACTCACGGGGGAATCTCATCTGCCCCCCCACAAGTCCAGCCCAACCACTCGCCTAAAATGCTGTGGCAGCAGTGTCTGGAAGCTACTCCTTCCCTCTTCCTCCTTCTCTACAATCTTCCTCCTCTTTCTCCCCCTCCCCTTATCTGTCAACCTACCCCCATCTCTTTTGCCTCCTGATGTCTTCTGTCAATCTACTTACCCTTCTCTGATAACCTCCCTTCCTTATTTCCCCCTTTCTCCCATTCCCCTTATCTGTCATGTCAATCTACCCCCCATCTTTTTTGCCCCTCTTTTCTCAATCAGTCTACCCAACCCATGCTGCCCCCCCCACCTACCACCCACCCCTGGCACTTCATTCACCTTCACCTTTGCAGGTCTCCCCACCTATCCTCCACCACCCTTGGCATTCTACTCACCCACTACTCTTGCTGCTTTCCCTGTCTACTCCCCACCCTTGGCACCATGAGAACAGAAATATTCACACCAGCAGTGGAACGCAAGCCCTCCCTCCTCCTCAAGGTTAGTCAGATAACTCAGTCTGGCAGCACCAGTTCGCATAGTCTCATGAGCACCTCCCAATCACTGTTTACAGCAAACAAGCAAAGCAAGCAAGCATGCGCACTCGCACCACAGTCAGGAAAGAATGAACACAAGTGAAACATGGCAGCTAGCTGACACAGAGTTGCCAACCTCCAGGTCAGCCCTGGGGATCTCCCAGAATTACAACTGATCCCCAGATGTCAGAGATCAATCCCACTTGGGGAAAAATGGCTGCCGAGGCCCCTCCCCAAACCCCCTTGCTGTCTTCTCACCTGCCCCCATATCCTTGGCCCTCCACTTCCCCCCACCCTTCCCATTCATCCCCCCACCCTTGCTGCTCTTCCCACCTACCTTCCAGCAGGCCAACAGTAGGCTGCTGGCTTGGGGGGGGGTGGTGGCAGTCACAGGAGGAGGAATCAAATCCCCCCATCTGCTGTGGTTCTTGGGCTCCCCCACTGCCAGGCCCAGCGCAGCTCTTGATCTCTTGGATCCCATCAGGTACCTTTTTTTATTTTGGGGTGAAATTTAAATCTCCCACTTTTTTAAAGTCATATTTTTCTGTACATCTGGGGAGTCCCCCGAGTGTGTAGGAAAATCTCTTTAGTCTTCGTGTGGCCCTGTTCTGTGGATGTGGCTATCACAGTATAAGATTTTTAAAAACCCTTAAGCACCTTTCCTGGTTTCTTGTAGATTTTAAAACTGCAAGCATGGAGTCTTCGAAGTCTCCCTTCCACTGTTTCTGTGTGCACCAAACCAGGGGACTCTGAAAAAGGCTCAACGAAAAGTAAGAGACTCTTTTTGTTGCTTGTTCCTGCAGGTTATAAGTAGATTCTCCTCATAAATGTGCTGAATCATTACTCATATATGAGGTTTTGCTGGTTTTATGAATTATAGAATGTAAAGGTTAAAACCTTCAACGTTGCACGTAATTGCTGAGATGGCATTTCATATGTTTTAATAAACCTTTAAAATTATTTATAAAGAACTCTGTATCATAGGTTATTCATGGTAAAGTACCAAAATTTGTTTTAAAATTATTCTTCTAAGATAACTTATAACTATAAGATGAAAATATTAAAGTTGTAACACGAATTATATTTTATCTGATCAATTAGCCAAAACTCCAGTAAAGTGTGAATGTAGGAATACCAACCATGGAGTCTGAATGCTGTAGACATCAGAGTGTACCTTTAACGCACATGGTCCTGTAAGATTTTGGAATTTAAAGACAAGTTTAACAAAGAGATCTAAGGGAACTACAAGGAATGCATTTGAATTTCCTCACAGTAATGTTATACTCAGATGTGGATGGGAGGCTTTTTAAAGTATATGTCGTCAGACTTTGGAAGCTAAGCAGGGTCGGCCCTGGGTAGTGTTTGGATGGGAGACCACCAAGGAATTCCTGGGCAGTGACGCAGAGGCAGGCCATGGCAAAACCACCTCTGAATGTCTCTTGCCTTGAAAACCCCACAAGGTCACCCTAAGTCAGCTCTGACTTGATAGCACTTTCCACCACCACCATTTACATCTCACAATATTACCTCCAAAAATCTATCATATGGTAGAGGGTCTTGTTGTCCCTCAGCAGTTTTTGTTTTTCTCCAAAGTTAGCGATATCATGTGCAAAAGGTAACATGTTATTTCTGGTGGTAGTCATCTGGGTCAGGAGACTCGTGGAGGGAGAAATTGCCCTCTCCCTTTTCCTGCAGTCAGAAAGGACTGCTGGGGACAAGAGAGCTGGCAAAGGGTATTGCTAGCTCCAACCCCTTCGAATGCAGAACCCTATGTAAGAGGCAGCAGTGTAGCCGTCCAGTGAGCCAGCTGTCAAGCTTTCCAAAGCCCTGCCACAGTGGTTGGCCTGCAGCTGCTCAATCAAGCCATTTTCCATGAATGTCAAAAAGCGCTGGGTCTGGCACCCTGCTTAAAAGAGCAGTGCCCACCTGGAAAGTAGACAGCACACTCAGTATAGTGCAGGGGCCACCAGTGTGGTGCCCATGGGCATCATGGTGCCTGCCACCACCTTTCCTGGTGCCTGCCACCACCTTTCCTGGTGCCTGCCAAGCGTTTTTAAAAAGTGGGCAGGGCCAGGTATGGCTTTTGGCCAGCAAGGCTTCTGATTGACTACTGGAGAATTGATTGGCTGTACAGATTTTTAAAATGTTGCTTTGGCACCCCGACCACCAGAGCACTAGGATCTTCACTGTGTGATTGATGGAAAGCTGGATCAGCCATTTTGTGGCTGGCTCACCCTCCTGTGACAGAGATTTTGTGGTAGCCATTTTGTGGCTTTGCCCACCATGCAGTGTCAGATTTCTAAAGATGCCCACAGGCAGCAGGGGAGAAGCAGACAAAGGGGTAAGGAGGGGGAGAGAGAGTGTGTATGTGTAAGAGAAGAAAAAGTCACGTTTGACTAGGACAGGGGAGACGCAGCTTCAAATATTTTCCCCAAGAAGCTTATTGGGAGCCTTTGAGCCACTCTCTTTCAGTCTAACCTTCACAGACTCATTTTGAGGATAATGTTGAGGAAGGGAGAAAAATATATGCCACCCTGAGATCCTTGGAGGAAGTGTAGAATAAAAATAAGACCAACACAAATAGCAGAATGTAGAGAGAACAATGTCCTCTTTAAAGTAAGCTGTTCTGTTTGACACATTAAGTCATTTGATCAGCTGTCGGTTTTTATATTTCCAGTTAGAGGACCTGCCTTTTTAAAACATTTGTTTCTAGCAAAGGAGTAATCTGGTACTTTAAGTTCTGTGACCATGCTAATACTTTATCCTCACAGGGTGTCTGTTGTGGGGAGGGGAAGGGAAAGGAATTTGTAAGCCGCTTTGAGACTCCAAGTGAAGGGCGGGGTATAAATCCAATCTCCTCCTCCTCCTCTTTTAATAATAATGAGGTCAGTTTGGCATTCTACACAAGATGCCGCGAAGCTTTAGGATTTAAGAACATAAGAGACGCCAATGTTGGATCAGGCCAAAGGCCCATCCAGTCCAGTCCAACACTCTGTGTCACACAGTGGCCAGAAATACCAGGTGCCATCAGGAGGTCCACCAGTGGGGCCAGGACATTAGAAGCACTCCCACTGTTGACCCCACCTAGCACCAGACAGAGCATCACTTGCCCCAGAGCCCCTATCTATACCTTGTGGCTAATAGCCACTAGGGTTGCCAAGTCGGGTGTTGCGCCGCAGCGAGGGACTCCCGGCTGGCGTTTGGAGCGTGTGCGCACGTTACTCGGAAGTGACATGACGACGTCAGGCACTCTGGGGGTGGGGCCACAACCATCCGAGGGAAAACCATAGAGTTTTCCCTCGGATGACCGTGGCCCCGCCCCCAGCATGCCCGGCGTGGTCGCGTCACTTCCGGGTGACACGCACGTTGGGGTGGGGCTCCCCCCGGGGCCTGATCCGCTAGCGGCGGGGAACGGGCCTCTGGGGCGGGGGGTTCCCCCCCCCCCAGGGGGACTTGACAAGCTTAATAGCCACTGATGGACCTCTGCTCCACATGCTTATCTAATTCCCTTTTGAAGCCGTCCATGCTTGTAGCCACCGCCACCTCCTGTGGCAGTGAATTCCATGTGTTAATCACTCTTTGGGTGAAGAAGTACTTCCTTTTATCCATTCTAACCCGACCGCTCAGCAATTTCATAGAGTGCCCACGAGTTCTTGTATTGTGAGAAAGGGAGAAAAGTACCTCTTTCTCTACCTGCTCTTTCCCATGCATAATCTTATAAACCTCAATCATGTCTCCCCTCAGTCGTCATTTCTCCAAGCTAAAGAGCCCTAAGCGCCTTAACCTTTCCTCATAGGGAAAGTGTTCCAATCCTGAGAGTTTTGAGATCCCCTTATAACATGCAGCTTGTGTTATTTTGGTTGATCTTAATAAAAGAGATCACATGGCTTTGGATTTTGTTCTTGAATAAAAATTTTTAAGTTTCTCTCATGCACACACTGAAACCTGAAATCACTTTTCTATGGACTTCCTTTTTTCTGTTCAAGTCTTCATATTTCTGAAGATGTGCTTGAGGTCCTTTTGTTATATGATGTGTTATATGGTATTGTTATACAAAGCAAGATGAAAATGAGCCCAAGTTTTAAGGAATGTAAAATCCTAATGGGATCATGAGGTTGCTCAGATTTTACTGGGTGTTTTGTGTGTGAATTTCTATTTATTCCAGCTGTCCTTCTATTCGTTTCTTTGTTGCCTTTCCTATTGTGTAAATTTAGATTGTAACCTCCTTGGGGCAGATAACCTAAGTTTTTCTGCTGAATTTTATGCTACAAAGCACTGTGTGCATTTATGTGCAATAATAATAGTTTGGCATTTGCCTTCTTTAATCAAACATAACAGTAGGAAGTTTGTGCACAAAAATATAGAACATTTGCTTTTTAGAGAGCTAATTTCTTTGGTTGGGACAGTACCCAAACAAGTTGTATGATCCTTATGTGGGGGAATATCCCAAACCCCGTGGGGTTCTTTTCAATGGATTGATGGAGACAGGCTAGAGAACTTAGGCCTCCAGAGGAAAAGGACCAGAGAGAACAATAGCTTAAAACTCAAACTGTTTATTCTTTAAAACCATACACAAGTAATACTCAGTACTTAATAGCATATAAAAGTCTCAATACCTGATACAGTGTACACTTTTAGAAAGCACAAGGAACATTCCTGGACGGCAGGACCAAGACCCTTACACACACTGTTGGGGTGTTGGCCAAACAGGCCAGAACAAAGCCCAAAGCCACATTTTTATACTCTTTCCAGTCTATAGGAACCAATGGAGGCATCAATCCAGACTGTACTAGGCCAGCCCCCCCATATGGTGATATCATGAACTTTTGCTAGGGTGAACTTTTGCCTAGATGTATTTAATTAACTGCAATGTCAGCAAGACCCAGACAGCTACAACATCTCCAGAGTGGGATATGTTCAGGCTTTGGAGCCCAGCACTTGGAGAACAGGGAATGTCAGATAATGAATTCAGGCAAGAGTACATTTACAGGGCAAAGCCTTCTATTTTAAGCATGCATAGAATTGCATATTGCAGCTTCTTATTAACAAAGATTATTAACCTCATGTTTATAAAAAAGATTACGTACAAAATAGAGAGAAGCCTAACTGGGTCCTATGAACTGCTGGTTGGAGCACTGGGTACTGTGTCTCTTAGGGTTGCCAAGTCGTTTTCTTGCCACAGTGGGGGACTCCCGGCTGGTGGCTTGAGTGCGTGTGTGCAAAGTGCGTGCACACCGCACGCACGTCACCCGGAAGTGACGTGACGACGCTGGGCACGCTGGGGCGGGGCCACGACCATCCGAGGGAAAAACATAGAGTTTTCCCTCGGATAACCGTGGCCCTGCCCCCGGCGTGGTCACGTCACTTCTGGGTGATGTGCACGTCGGGGTGGGGTTCCCCCCAAGGCCCGATCCACCAGCGGTGGGGAACGGGCCTCTGGGGCGGGGGTTTAGGGTTAGGGTTGGCAAGCCTAGTGTCTCTGCTCTGCCCAAGCAATCCATTCTCCCAGGGATGAAAATAAACAACTCACACAAATCAGTGCTTTCAAACAACTCTTACAATGCAGTACAAGGTAGGTTCTAGGGATGTTTGAACTGCTGAAAAAGAGTCTGGCTCCTAGGTCTGAAGTAGTTTTGTCAAGGCCTGACATTGTTAAAATCACTTTGCTGCCTGGTAGTTTGTGTGAATTCAGATACCTTAACTTGACTCTGTTTGACAGAATAGAAGTTTTGAAAGAGAGCGGCTCTACTTTATGTGCTGTAAAATAAAG